ATACAATCTTGCATTTGTTTCCTTTTCTAAAGTTAATCACAGTTTCAATTATTTGCTCAGTATCTGTCTTCTGTGCAGTCTTTATGCTCTGTAAGATGATATCTGTCATATGTATAATGCTTAGCATGTCTTAGGTAAGAGTGAATTTAGTAAGATTCGCTAAATAAGAATAGTAAGAACCTGTTCTGTTTGGGTGTAGGGGTGCATGCCTGTCCCAGCACGTAAGACGCTCCGACAGGAAGAGTTTGAGGCCAGCCTGGGCGACACAGTGAGTTCATGGAGAGCCTAAACTACCTAGTGAAACCCTGTCTCAAAAGAGGGGCTGGGGATTTAGCTCAGCGGCATAAGCGCCTGCCTTCCAAGCAGGCAGTCGTGAGTTCGATCCCCGGTACCAATAAAAAGGAAAAAGACAAAAAAAAAAAAAAAAAAAAAAAAGATAAAAAAAGACTAAAAACAAACAAAAACCCTAATTGGCTGTAATTTATAACTGCCTTATAAAAAACAACAACCAAGCTTCGCATGGTAACACATGCCAGTAATCGCAGCACTTGGGAGGCTGAGGTAGGAGCACTGTTGCGAGTTTGAGACCAGCCCGAATTCATAGCAAGACCCTGTCTCAAAAAGAGAAAAACAAAACAGAACAGAACAAAACAAAACAAAACAACAACAAAAAAAAACCCAAACCCAAAAGACTTGTCCTATATATATGGGCTAAGAAATGAGACCTGCATAGGCAGAAGAAATAGACTTGCTGCATGGGAGGGAAGGCTCTGAGTAGAGGAGGAAGTGATGAAGTGAAGAGAAGGATTCTAGTAACTCAGAGGAGGACCCCAAGTGACTCAGGGACTAGAAGGATTTGGCACCTTAAATGATATGTAGGTTTTTGTTCTGGCATTTGTAAGAAAATATGAGAGAAGTATGAGCCTGGAATATAAAACCAAGTAGTGCTAGATCTGCTTAGTAGATAATGCATCTGACCCTAGTGGGAGAGACCTGAAGATTCTGGGCTATCGTACATTTGACCACTTCTTGCATGAGACGTTTGCCCAGGCCCCTCTAGGAACCTAGGCTTGGCTTCCAAGGATGGCTTTGGCTTTGCTACTTCCTAGTGTGGGATCCTGGCTGAACAAGTTTATCTTTCTGATCCTAAAATTCTCATCTGTAAAACGTACATAATCAAGGTGGCACAATAAGCCTGCTATGGTCGCACATGTCTGGAATCCTTGCACTCTGAGAGACTAAGGCAAGAAGATCTTAAGCTTGAGCCCAGCCTGGGAAATTTAGAAATTTACAAGGCCTTTTTCAAAACAAAAAATAAAAAAGGGCTAGGGATGTAGCTCAGGGCAAAGGCCCTGGTTCAGTCCCTAGTACCATACACCCACATCTACCATGCACACATACAGATGAAACAGCTACTATTGTGGGTACAAATCAAATAATAAAAATTTGAAATTTATACTCAACCTATTTAACATATTCATATTGCACTGAATGAAGTCTACAATGTCAATGTGCCTTTAGATAAACACTGGCTATGTAGTTTCCCAAGCTGGGTCTTTGAATACAAATGTGCCATCTCTTAAAATACATATCCTCTTCAAATTTATTATGTTGGAATAACTGCAGAATTTCTGACCATAAAATAGTGTTCATCTGCACTTGGCTGGTTAATGCATAAATCAGTTTTAGAGTTTTATTCCACGTAAGGGCTGAGGAATAAAAAATACTTAGGGAAAAGAAAAAGAGGTCCTTTCATAATATTTTCCCCTGTGCATTTTAAAAGTTGAAATAATTGGGACAAAAAAAAAAGTAAAAAGAAAAAACTGGGACAGGGCTGGGGTATGGCTCATGGTAGAGCACTGCTAAGCATATTTAAATGTAGACGTCTAATGCTCTGCATGAATGATTTTGGGGTGACAGTGCGCAACATATATAACAAGTACCATTGTTGCTCCCTGACTGATGTGTTTTAAAATTTTGTTGTAGTCTTTTTCCTTTCTTTCTTTTTATGCTTGAATAAAATGAATTTGAAAAAAATAAATAACTGGGGGCGGGGCTGGGGATTTAGCTCAGCGGCATAAGCACCTGCCTTGCAAGCAGGCAGTCGTGAGTTCGATCCCTGGTACCGATAAAAAGTTAAAATAAATAAATAAATAAATAAATAAATAAATAAACAACTGGGGCAGGGCTGGGGATGTGGCTCATGGTAGAGTACTGTCTGGCATATGCAAGGTCCTAGGCTCCATCCCAGCATCACAAAAACAAAAGCCAATCCTCCCCGAAAAAACCTCTAACTGGTCTAAAATGCACATTTCATTTAGTGATAGGAATAACTAAGGACAGTAGAGATATCTTGCTGGTGCAGATGACAAAGAACCCAGCGGGGCCATATATAAGTTATAAAAACTGAAATGGACCTTGGAAAAAGTCTAACACTCTCCAACTGTACAGTCATTACACTATGGGACGTCGGGAACAGACAGTAAGAGTAGCTATGGTACTTGTAGCTGGGTGTGGTACTAAGCATGGAGTCTGGTTCTGCAGAACCAATGGGATAAAGTTTCTGAATGCTTTATAGAAGCTTGGCTGCTGAGAGAATCTTCAAAACATGTGGTTTAAATTTGCTAGCCTTTTCATTTTTTTTTTTTAAGTTTTAAAGAGAATAGAACCAAACAAAATAAAACAGAATAAACCCATTCAAAACAGAACAATGAAAGCAATACAGTACTTCAATTCAACAATGGCTTGCCAGCACTTTCACAAGTCATCATATAGACAAAAGTCATTACAGGGATTTAGCTCAGCAGCGTAAGTGCCTACTTGGCAAGCGTGCAGTAGTGAGTTTGATCCCAGTACCAAAAAAAAAGGAACTATAGCTGAATTTTATGATGGGTTAACTCTGACATCTGTTTTCTGTTTTGTTTTGTTCTGTTTTGTTACCAGGAATTGAACTCAGGTTCTTGGGCTTGCCAGGCAGGCTCTTATGCTGCTGAACTGTTTCCCTGACTCTCACTCTTTTCCCTCTGCTTCTCAATCACTGGTTTGTACCCATTTCGTCAATGTCAGTACAGCCTAGATGGCCCGTGTTATATGGCTGCCTTTGGTTTTGGGGAATTGACAAAGAAGTCTGATCTCCCCTTGTCCATATGTGATCTGGAACATCCACAGCACCTGGTTGATCACTGTCCCTGTGATTATGGGAACAGCACAGATGACTCTAAGTAGTAGGCTCATGGAAGCCAAGATGCTCCGCAGTTGGATGCTGAGGGGTCTTAAGTGTCAGCCCTGTGGCTGCATCTCCCTGAACTATTAAAGTCCTCCAGGTCACACACGTCTTGAGTACTCTATCTTCCACTTAGATTTTTCTCTCCCAATGTCTACCTGATCTAATTATTATATGTCTTGTCTCCAGAGAAAGCCCCAGTGCTCCTGAAGCTCTGTGAGACATAAGACTGTGTCAGTCTTGGTCACTACTATACTCCAATGAGGAAATACAATAGTCACTTAATAAATACTTATTGACTTAATGAGATAATAATAATCTTCTCCTATAGGCTGTGAGTAGTTACTATAATGGGAAGGGCCCCTAAGTGCCCACGAATGCCTATTCCTGTGATATCGATTACATCTCAAAGTCAAGGATATAACCAATGTTCTCTGAGCCAGAAAAGTCTCTTCACCATACTGTCTCAGGCATACAGGTAAGCCACAGCTGCTCAGGGAAGAAGTAGAGGTTGTTGAGATCTCCACATAAGAAATATGGACAATAGCTAGGGAGCTTAAATCAGAGGTTATAAACTGGTGGCTGGTGGCCTAAACTTAGCATGTACAGAGGATTTTACCCATATACAGCTTAAAAAATTTTTTTGGTGGGGAAATACTGGGGATTGAATCCAGGGCCTCTATCCTGAGCTAACACCCAACCCCTTTTGTATTTTTTTGACATGGGTTTTGCTAAGTTGCTAAATTGTTCAGGGTGGGCTTGCACTTGGGATCCTCCTGCCTCATTGTCCAGAGTGCTAGGATTACTGGTAGGCACTAGCAAGGTTGGCTTTTTGTTGTTGTTGTTTCAAGACAAGGGTCCTGCTATTATATAATCCAGACTAGTCTTTTTTTTTTTTGGCTTTTTTGTTTTTATCGGTACCAGGGATCGAACTCATGACTGCCTGCTTTAAAGGCAGGCGCTTATGCCGCTGAGCTAAATCCCCAGCCCCCCCAGACTAGCCTTGAATTCACTATGCAGTCCAGATTGGCTTTGAATTTATGATTCTCCTGCTTCAGCCTCCCAGATGATGGATGTAATGCCAGGATTATAGATATGCATCACCATGTCTGGCTTGAAAATTTTAAAAATTTAGTTGCACATTTAAAATTTAGGGAAATTTAGGGTAGGGATATAGCTCAATGGTAGAGCACTTACCTGGCTTGCCTAACAAGTCAGGTCTTGGGCTTGGGCCCTGGCACTGAGAAAAGAAATAAAAGAATTTTCTATACAAATTCAGCTCACAATAATCTTTTGAAAAATTCAAATACATCATAACAGCAGTCTAGAGTTGCCGAGGAGTGGCATGCATGCTTTAGTCGATCATATCCCTTCTTGGCTCTCACTGAGATTTTGTTCCTGGTAATAAAAATAAACAAACTGCCCACTTGCCTTGGGACTGGGGATTTAGCTCAATAGTAGAGTGCTTGCCTAGCAAGTGTGAAGGTCTGAGTTTGATTCTCAGCAACGTTAAAAACATTAAACAAAGGGGCTGGGGATTTAGCTCAGTGGCATAAGCACCTGCCTTGCAAGCACACAGTTGTGAGTTCAATCCCTGGTACCGATAAAAAGAAAAAAAAAAAATTAAACAAAAAATGTCCTGTGTAGCTTTTATAGGCATCTGCGTTTGCAAACTCTCCTTCAGAAGACCTAAGGCAGAGAAGTAGAGTTGGTTAGACTCCAGAACCCCAGTGATCAAGCTCTGATCCAGCTCCAGATGTAAGCTGGACCCTCTCACCTGATAAATCAGTGACAGCAGGGTCTGCTAGTCGTCCGTAGTGTGCCATGAGTTTGAGCTTGGTCTCCTGCTTCCTGTGTTTCTTGCCCGCATAATGTTGTTGAGCCATAATGGGGTCATTGAAAGTTGCATGGCAGAGGCTGCAGAACTTGTCTGGGTCTATCATCTCTCTATTCTGATGCAAGGCTAAAGTGGAGGACACAACAAGAAGATTTGTAAGGTATTCTGACAAAGCTGCACCGGGAGAGTTCAAACAGAAACAACAAAAACTCCCATGCCAGGCTTTCAGGGACATTGAAGAAAAAGAAAGGCACTGTCACTAGTTAATCACACCTGCAGATGTGGCACTACCTGTGTGAATCACACAATGAACACCTTCTCTAATTGGGAAAACTGGAAGACTTGGGGGGAGCCCAAAGAGCAGCTAATTTGCTCAGCAGCTTTAACTACTCCAGGCACACAAATCCTGATTTACTCATACACTCAAGAGGCTCTGAACTTCTGCCATCAAGTTGCCAACTGTAATAGAGATGCACACTTGTAGTCTTTTCTTTCCAGGATTTCCTGAAGTTTCATAGTTTGTGGGATAAAGAGTCTATTTAATTCTCATCCTCAGGGCATCCCAGTTATAAACCTAGGCAAGACCAATGCACTCGTGTAGACATTGAGGTTCTGAGCTTATACAGGGTGAGGCAACCATGCTAGTAGTGTCTTTTGGGCTTCATTACACTCTATGCTAAGTGAAGGAGAAAGAGGACAACATTTAGTTACACGTTATAAATATATATATTTTCCTCTAATACTCACAACTATTCCAATGAGGGCAGCATGATTTTTGACACATTAGACAAAAACTGAGGCTCACATAGATAAAATGGCTTGTGCAACATCATCTAACTCATGAGTGAACCCAGGTCTGTGTGGTCCTGAAGTACATGATCTTTTTGCTTTGGTAATCTGCCAGGCAAGAAGATCTGAAAGTATAGTTTTTGTCTTTAAGAAACATCCCTCACCTTGTGTTCAGTTAGTCAGAGCTTGGTGGGGCGTATGTGTGAGCCTTCTGATGCTGACTGTAAGCTGTGCACCTTATGAAGTGAGTACCATGACTCAGTAACAAGTTTACATGGCTAGAATGGTATTAACTTAGCAAGCACTGCTAGACAAATGGGCCCAGAATCCCCACCAGTAATAGAGGAGGGGTGGGGCTTAGCTGCACTCACAGGTAGATGATGACACAGTTTCCCTTTTATCCCTATTCTACTTCAATTGGGATGTTTTGAGGATTTTTAGCAAGCCAGAAGATAGTTTGCTAGTTTTTCCCACATTACTTTTCCAATATAGGAAATACAATATTTTCTGGCTTTTAATTTTGTTTCAATATGTCACTGAAAAAGTAAAGTGAATATAGAATATTTCATGAGAAAATATTCAGTTTGTTGTATTACAAAAAAAGCAAGTTAAAAAGCAATCTCTTTCTTATTTCAACTTTATAAAAGAACCAAAACATACAGGTAACTGCATGAAAAAAAGATAAAAAGCATAGAAACTAGAGTGTTTTTCAGTATTTTCCAAATTTTCTACAGTGAACATAGTTTTATTTTTAACATCAAAAAAGAGATATTAATAGTCACAGAAAGATAAAGATAAAGAATGTAGGTCAGTGGAATAGTGCCTGCCTACTGTGTACAAGGCCCTGGGTTCAATCCCTAGGGGGGGGGGGAGAGAAGGGAAGAGAGAGTGAGGGAGGGAGGGAGAGGGAGAAGTAGAGGGGGAAAGACAGCAAGAGAGAGCATTGTTGGAAAGACATTGTTTGAAAGCATCAGAAGTGAATGGAAAAACTGCTGCATGGACATCCCAAACCAGTGAAAGCTACAGAGCCTCGGGAAATAACCTGAAATATGGAAAGAGAATTGTATAGGAATGTTCATTGTTGATGTCATTTGTAACACCAAGAATGGGAGGGGAATTAAATGTTCATCATGAGAGTAATTATTAAATCTGGTATAATATAGTCACTCAAATGCTTACAAAAGTTATTTAGTAACGGGGAAATATAAATGTCACATTAATTAAAAAAAAGAAAAAGAAATTATAGGTACAATATGGTCATGTCACTGTTCAAAGGTACCAGTACAATCTATAGACATCATTTTGAAATGTCACTCGAGTATTAATAGTACTTCGCTTCGTGGTAGAATGTAGGCAATATTTTACTTTCTTCTTCGTATCATTTGCATTGTTTTTTCTAAAATTATGTACAATGAGTATGTGTCATTTTTATAAAAAAAAAAGTTATTTAACATATTCTGGGCTGGGGATATAGCTCAGTGGCACAAGCACCTGTTGGGCAAGTCCAAGTCCTGAGTTTGATTCCTGATACCAAAAAACAAAAACAGAAACAAAAACTTATTCTATTTATAAGCACAGAAACATAGAGCTCATCTAAATACACATAAAACAAATATATACAGACAGATATATACACATATAAACAACAAAAGATTATAGGAGAAATAGTACTCTAATTACCACACAATGGTAAATTGTTTTAATTTTTTCCATTTATCTATATTTTTCACATTTCCTATAACATGCTTTATTACTTTTATATTAGAAAAGTACTTAATTTCAGGAATAGAATTATAAATGTGTAATAACATGGAAATATGCTTCAATTAAAATAGTAAGTGAAAAGTAAAAGGATACAAATGATTCATGCACTATGATTTATAGCTGTATAAAAACATATCTTCAGGGTTGGGGATTTAGCTCAGTGGTATAAGCATCTGCTTGCCGGGCAAGCTCAAGGTCATGAATTCAATCCCTGGTACCAAAATAAATAAATAAAAATAAAAACCTATCTTCATACTATAAAGGTTGAAAGTGAATATGAAAAACACATCCTTAGTATGGAAGTTTTGGATAAATCCGAGGATTTGTTCTTGTCTTTTTGTTTTGTTTTGGTACCAGGGATTGAACTTACAACTTTGTGCTTACAAGGCAAGTGCTTGAGCCACTGAGCTAAGTTCCCAGCCCTTTGCTTTTTTTTTTTTTTTCCGTCTTTTTGAGACAGGGTTTCACTAGGCAGTTCAGGCTGGTCTTGAACTCAGTTTGTAGCCCAGGCTGGCCTGGAACTTGCAGTGCTCTTCCTACCTCAGCCTCCCAGGTGCTGAGATTACAGGCATACAACACCATGTCCAGCCATAGCAGTGAAGTTCTAGCATTGGGCCTATTCCAGAAAATTTTCCCATTATTGAAAATATAGGTTCATAACTTAAAGTTCAGTTCTTAAGTTAGTTTTCCTTGGCCTACTGTTTAAACATTGTGGTACCATACTGATATCAACATTAAACAAAAGCAATCAGCATTCATAAAAGTTACTGATGAATCAACCATTGGCAAGGCCAAAGTCATGCTCCAGGTCATAGATGTCCTATCAGCTATTGTATTTCATGAGGGAATTCTACCCACTGGCTATCTTTTTTGGCGGAAGTGGTGCAGTACTAGGAACTGAGCTACAATCTCCAGCCTTTTACTTATTTTTTGAGACAGAGTTGTGCTAAGATACTAAACTGCCCAGACGTTCTCAGAATGCTGGCATTATGGGCATGTCTCATCACACTCAGCGTCCCTGGCTCTCTTAATGGAATAGTAGCAGAAGCTGTCACTCATGAATATCTATTATACCCTCTTTTTTAATGTACATTATTTTATCCTCATAATTTAGGAAGTAAACAGCATAACATTTTACAGGTGAGGAAACTCAAACACAAAGAAATCACACAAATGGTAAATAGCAGTGCCAGGATTCAAATCTGGGCTTGTGTGTCTTCAAAGTCCATATTTTATTGTTTAATACTGTGAATAACTAGAATTGGACATGATAAGAGAGTGTAATTATGAGTGATTTTCCACCCCACCTTCAAAGCCTTCTAAAACATTGTTATAAAACATTGTTTTCACAATAAAATAAAACAAAAAGGATAATAAGTACTATAAATAGTGTAGTTTACTTCTTGGTCCAGAGTAAAAAAGCAAAATTTTACCAAGCAGAAAATGAAATAAAGATCAAAGAACTCACTCTTTTTTTGTTTTGTTTGTCTTTTTGAGACAAGGTCTCATTATACAGTTCAGGCTGGCCTTAAGCTCACTTTGTAGCCCTGGCTAGTCTCGAACTTGCAACAATCCTCCTGCCTCAGCCTTCCAAGTACTAGCATTAATTACAGGCATGAGCCATCACTCCCGGCTTCAAAGAACTCACTCTTAACTAATTACAGTTAGCAGGTAAAAACCCCAGCAAGTCAGGAGTTAATGAGATGAAAGTGAGGGCAAAGACCCAATGCTGACAAAATAAAGGAGGTTATTCTAGAAGTCACTACACTGGGAATGAATCTGTGGCAGCTGCAAACAGCTTCAAGGGCAGTAATTTCAGCACTGAAGTATTCTGCTTTGAAAGGCAAGTCCCTGTCTCGAGGGAACAGGGAGCTTTTGAGGATTAAAGTGAGCAGGGCATAACCTGAGCACATGGAAAAGGACACGGATTTAGCTTTTAACTAGGAACATGTAGTAATAAAAGCAGGTGGATGGTGGAGGGAAAAATCTAAGTGGGAGAAGCAGTGGATAGAACATTTTCACTATGTGCACGGCCTGGAAGACTTTGGTGCTTCTGAATTATAATTACTGGTCAGGACAAAAGCTCAGGGTAAGAAGCTTCTACTGAGAAAAACCAATAGAACCGATAAAAGGGAGGTTAGATGAGCACAACTCCGAGGCTGCATTCCAATGAAATAAATCTACTGTGACATTTTTAAGGGGTCTCAAAAGCAGTTAGTTCAACCTCTCCAAGTCCGTGGCCCCAGTGAGTATTTCTGGGAGCACCTGTCAATGATTCCCAGAAGATGGAGGGGTCCCAACAAAGCACTACTCAGGAAAACCAGTACCTTCCACCTTAGTGGATTGCTGCTTCAGCTTTAAGTTCTTTGCGTGGGTCTTCCCCAGGTAATGCGACTGGGCCACAACAGGGGAGGAAAAGGTCATGTTACAGATGGGGCAGCACTGGTTCTTGTCTTTGCTTCTGCTGCTCTTCTGGTTGGGAGAAAGAACACAGGTCTGATCACGCCACTGCTTAACCAGAAAATCTTTAATGGTCCCCCACTGCCCATAGAATACTGGGCATTTAAGATCCCCTTCATATATTAACTCCCAACCTACCTTTCTGGATTCTTCTCCAGCTATTTTGTTCTAGGTCTACTCATCATTCCCCTTTGTTTTCTGTTGCTTCCCTGCTTTATTTGGGCTATTCTTTATTTATTTATTTATTTATTTATTTATTTATTTTTTGTCTTTTTGAGATAGGGCCTCACTATGGGGTTTAGTCTGGCCTTGAGCTCATTTTGTAGCCCAAGCTGGTCTCAAACTTGCAATGATCCTCCTGTCTCAGCCTCGTGAGTGCTGTGATTACAGGTGTGTACCACCACACCTAGCTCTGTTTTTGGGCTATTCTTGTTGTCTAGAATGTTCTTTTTTTTGTCTTTTTCATTTTTATCGGTACCAAGGATCGAACTCATGACCACACACTTGCAAGGCAGGCACTTATGCCGCTGAGCTAAATCCCCAGCCCCTAGAATGTTCTTTTTTGCATTCATTCCTGCCTGGCATTATCTCTGCTTGGCCTTCAAGGCCCTGCTTAAATATTAGCTCTTCATTTGGGAGATTTTTATTCATGTATTTCAAGAAGAATTAATGTTGTTTTTTCTCTGTAATCCCAGAGCACTAAACAGATCTTTACTATACTTCTGGCTAATACCCTAAAAAAAGCCAATGGCACATGTGACACAGTAGGTGGTGTGTATCATTGAAACTTTAAAAAGGTTCACCATCACTGCCCTAAACTGACAGTGTGTCAGCTTAGGAACTCTTTCTGAGAACTCATGTGTTGCATTTGGGCAAAGACTGTTTGATTCTTCATTTCCTAGCCTCATATTCTGCTAGAGTCTGGCATACTGTAGATGCCTAGGGTTCTCTGAACATGAACATCATTGGATTTTATTTCTTGATTATGGTTAGGATAAAAAATGTATTTTAAGCCTATGTTAAGATCTGCCAGTTTTTCTGAGAAAATGACACATGAACAGGATATTCATTTACAGGCATTTTCAACCTTGGTACTGTTGACATTTTGGGCTCAGTATTTCTTTGTTGGTGGCAGATATTTCATTTGAACTACTCAGTTACCCTGCCAGGAGTTGAAGGAACTGAAGTACAAAGAGAGAAAGTGACTTGCCCAAGGTCACAGAGTTGAACTTGTCTGTCTAAATCATAAATAAAAAAGGCAAGCGGGAGATGAATCCAGTGAACTCTAAGAAAGACAAGCAAGGCCTTTTCTTCTAACTACTAGCTCCTATAACAGGAGGCAGCAGAGTAAACTCTTAATTTACTGAGCATCTATTAGGAACTGGAATTTGTCTCACAGTATCTTGTTTTATTTTTTCTTTTATTCTAATACAGGGTTTTACTATGTAGTTCAGGGTGGCCCTGCACTTACTATATAGCCTACTCTGGCCTGAAACTTGTGGCAATCCTTCTGCCTCAGCCTCTCAAGTGATAAGATTATAAGTATGTACCACCATGCCCAGCAGAGAGTATTTTAAGAGGTAGGCATTATCTTCACTTTATGAGTGAAGTTCAGAGAGGCTAAGTAACTTGCCCTAAGTCATTCACTTAGTAAGCTGCAGAGCCTGCTTACTTCTTATTCCATGATGTGCACAGCCTACTACAGAACAAAAATGATGGTACTCCAGAGGGACTAGGGGTTGTTTCAGCATAATCCTCACAGTGATTCTGAGCCAAAAAATTAATGCAATTACTTCTCAGTCAGAGCAAGCATTGGTTTTACTAATTTATTCAAAACATTGATGTGCTGAACTCAATTCTTTTCTATGGCTCTAAAGAAAGTATGCAGCCTGCTTCCTTCTGCGTTCTCCTGGGCAGCTTCTTGTTCTGAACCAACAAATCACTGGGTGGTAATACAACAGTAGTTCCATTTACTAATTCTCTACTATGTGCCAGGTTCTGTGTTGCGTGCTTTTTATAAAACTTTTCTTGTTTTAGTTAGGAAAAATCCTGAAAGGATGTTATCCTCATTTTTATACAGGAGGAAATCAACGCTCAGAGAAGTATTAAGACCTGGCCAAAATACACAACAGGGTTGGGATTTGCAGCCAAGTCAGTGTGACTCTTTTACCACACCAACCTGCTTGCTGGCTTCATCAGGAAGAGCGTGGTCTCAGTGTGGCAGCTGCATTACCTGATCTGAGTCTAGCCTCTTCGTTTCCCCCTTTAATGTCTCCATTCCATGGATTGCTAGGTATCTCTTCACTTTGTTGGCATGTTTTTTGCTCTGCAAGAACCCAGGGAAAAGATCAAAGATAGCCAAATGCCATTTCATATTGAAGGCACTAAAAAATGTTACATTTTTATTCAATTCATCCTCTCTGAAACTTCTGAGGAGAAAGTGAGGGAAGAAAGTTTGAATTCCTACTCTGTGGAGCCACTTTATAAGCTGTTAAATTTAATCTTCACAACAATTTATGAGAAAATTGTTACGTGAAGAAACTGAAGCTGAAAATGTGAAGTTTCTTGCCCAAGATGAATATCAGAGTTGTGATTCAAATTCAGGTTAATTTAAAGCAATGTTATGAATTCGGGATGACAATGTACAAAGTATGTACCATTGTTAACTCCTGATTGACATGCTTTGAGATTTTGTTCTTTTTTCTTCTCCTTCTTCTTTTTTTTCTATTTATTTTTGAATAAAATGGATTTGAAAAAAAATAAAGCAATGCCTCTTACTTGCTACTATATCACACTGCAAAGGAAGATACACATATAGGGGTTCCGATTTGGTATGTGAGGTGAGAGTCAGGGAAATCAAATCCGTCCTCAAGTACAAGCCGATATGCAGGAAGGCAATATCTAGTTTCAAAGAAAGAATTTCCCTTCACTATGTAAGCCAGGTAGAAGTGTGGGCTTGCCATTGGTTGGAAAAATAAAGCACTATTAAGTACAATGGCTTACCTGGTAATGTGCCAGCTTCTGGGACTCAGAAATCAGTAAGGCACAGCAAACCTTACACTGGGTGTTGGTGAAGAGACACTGATTCTTCTGGATCATGTGTTCCACTATAGAGAAGGAAAAAAAAAATGTGAGTTAACAGTACCTCAACAGCATCGTCTTTGAATCCTGTCTCAGACACATGAACTGAGTGGAGAAATACGTTAACAGTACATACAATTTGTTAACTGTGGGGTTGGGGATTTAGCTCAGCGGCATAAGCGCCTGCCTTACAAGCAGGCAGTCAAGAGTTTGATCCCTGGTAACGATAAAAAGGAAAAAGACAAAAATAAAAAAGATGTTAACTGCATCTCCTACTGCATTCATGACTGCTAAGATCCAACACCATCTGTACTTTACTTATTTTATAATTTTATGCATGTCAACTTTTTTTATTTACTAACTCCTTTTACAAAGGGATCTTTAGCTCAGTGGTAGAAAGCTTACCTAGCATACATGAGATTCTGGGTTCAATCTTCATTATCACATACACATATACACAAACCACACATATAGAAGAAAAGGATGATGAATCTTTAGATCACAGACACTAATAAAAATAAATATAATAAAAATGAAAAAGCTCTAGTGAGATGTTAGTGTCAGAGGATTGGCACACTCCCTAAAAAGAGTAGAAGTCAGACATGACGATGTGCACCAAGAGTCCCATCACTCGAGAGGCTGAAGCCAGAGGATCCCTTGAGCCCAGGAGCTTAGCCTGGGCAATGCACCAAGACCCCATCTCAAAGAGAAAAAAAAGGAACAAGGGAGTAGCAACTGTGAAGAGAGGTTTTTGTTTTGCTTTGTTCTTTCGAGACAGGGGGTTGCTATGTAGTTCAAACTGACTGTGAAATCACCAGATAGTCCAAGAGTTAGCCTCAAACTCACGTCAACCTTCTTTCCTCAGCCTCTCAAGTGCTAGGATTATAGGCATATGCTACCATGTCTAGCTAGAGGGGTTTTAAAATATGGTAGTATATGAAACTTCTTCCCAGGTAGAATAGGAAACTAAAAGACTTGAAAAGACAGCAATTTTCTTATTCCTCTTTTTTTAATTATTTTAGAGAGTGGGCCAGGGATTTAGCTCAGTGGCACAGCACTTGCCTGACATGAGTGCAGTTCTGAGTTTGATTCCTGATCTCTCTTCTCCCTGAAAAAAAAAGTGTTGCCCAGGCTGGCCCTGAACTTATGATCTTTCTGCCTCAGCCACCCAAGCAGCTAGGGCTATAGGCATGGACCACCATGTCTAGTTTCTCACTGTTCTGAGTCTGACAGTGATACACCTAAAGTTGATATACCTAAAATTGCCTAGTATGTTATACTAGTTTCACACTGTAGAAAACACACTATTAGCCTGTGCTTAATTGTTGGTCCTGGATAACAAGGCTTTGCCTTTCTGAGGTAGGAATTTTGGAACCCTCCAAATTTTGAAGTTAAGCAGAGGAAGTAAAGTTGAATATAAAGCAAAATGAGAGGGGTGGGAAATCTGGTTACAAGGTAAAGAAATCCTCTCTGCAAAATCAACTATATAACTGGACAGAACAACCACTTCAGCATCCTAGAAATTGACAAAAGGCACTCAACAATTTAGAAGCAATTATGTTTACAAAACTGTTGAACTTGAGTAAGAATGAAGATCTAGTTTTCTTATGTGAAGCTACTCTCCATTCCTCTCATACTTGGTTGGTGCAGAGTCTACTAGGAAAGAATAGGTTATGAGAACCACTATCTTCCCCACGGAGGAAGGATTTTACTACTCGACTTTGAGTGACACGTAATGCCCACCCTCAGTGATATTGTTGGTAGAAGTGATGACCTCAAAGGCAGGTAAGCAGGAAAAGCCAAAAAGCATATCCCTGGGTAAGACTGTAGCAAGGGAGATCCAAAAAGGTGAAAGTTAGTCAAATATTTCTAGTTTATCTGAGGTGAACGCACTTGCATGCAAAAGGACCCACTGGGAAGTAAAAGCCAGGATGGACCTTAAAATAGTCTGAACTTTGACTGTATTTCCCTACTGACACACAGATTCAACAGTAGAATATACCTTTCAGGGGGCACATACCTCTAATTCCAGTATTTGGAAGGGTGAGGCAAAAGGGATTAAATGTTTCAAGGGCAGAGAGGGCTATATAGTGAGACAATGGGTCTAAAAGAAAAAGAGAGAGAGAGAGAAAGAGAGACATTACTGGCTGATCAGTGAATAACAAAGACATATGAAGAAAGAAATGATTAGGTTTTTTTTTTTTCTTTTTTTTTTTTTGGTACTGGGAATTGATAACTCAGGACCTTACACTTACCAGGCAGGAACTGTGCTGCTAAGCTATACATCCAGGCATTTTTTTTTTATCTTTTTGAGACATGGTTTCACTATGTAGTCCAAGTTGCTGGGGTTACAGATGTGTGCCATCATGACTGCAAGAAATGATTACAAAGCCAGGCATGATGGCACATGCCTGTAATCCCAGCACTCAGTAGGCTGAGGTAGGAGGATCGCTGTAAGTTCAAGACCAGCCTGGGCTACAGGCTGAACTCAAGGCCAGCCTGAAACTGCATAGAGAGACCCTGTCTCTAAAAAAAAAAAAAAAAAAAAAAGATTACAAAATAACCAAATGACACTATTTGCTTTTGAAGTCTTCAGTCACCATGTAAATAGTCTGACTACTTTGAGGCCACCAGGTTATAAGAAACTCCAACTAGGGCCAGGGATTTAGCTTAGTGGCATAAGCGCCTGTGTGGCAAACATGAGGTTGTGCATTTGATCCCCAGTACCAAAAAAACCCAAAACATAACAAAACAAAACAAAGAAAAAAGAAACTCTAACTAGTCCATGTGTAAAGATCACATGGAGGGCTGGGGATATAGCTCAGCAGCATGAGCACCTGCCTGGCAAGTCTAAGGTCCTGAGTTGCATTCCTAGTACCAAAAGAGACCATATGGAGAAGCCCTGATACTTCATGGTGAGAGACTTTTGGCCATCTCCCAGAAGCTCCCTTCACTCACTGTTTTAGGTTTAGTCACTATCTGATTATAACTGCCTAAGAAACCTTGATCCAGAACTATTCAGCCAAGCCTTCCACGAATTCCTGATCCACAAAACCAAGAGAGTTCTATCAGGATGTGGGAAGCTAATGTCAATAAGAGAAAAAAAAGTACTTAGGCAAATACAAGAATTCTGAGAATGTAGTCTGACTACAAATAACTGTTGCTCGGATATCCCCATACAACTTCAACCCAGCACATCAGAGAGATTTGGTACAGGCATTTAGGTGGTTAGAAAATCACTAGACAGGGGCTGGGGATTTAGCTCAGTGGCATAAGTGCCTGCCTTGGAAGCAGGCAGTCGTGAGTTTGATCCCCGGTACCGATAAAAAGGAAAAAGACCAACAAAAAAAAAAAAAAAAAAAAAAAAGAAAGAAAGAAAGAAAGAAAGAAAGAAAGAAAATCACTAGACAGAGAGTGGAACATGGTGAGTATGGAGGCTGAAGTGGGAGGATTGTTGCCAGTTTGAGACCAGCCTGGGCTACAAAGTGAGTTCCAGGCCAGCCTGAACTGCATAGCAAGACCCATCTCAAAAAAGACAAAAAAAAAAAAAAAAAAAAAAGAAAATCACTAGATAGGCAAAAGGATTGGTACTAGGTTGGAGCTCTCCAGAAACAAATGCAAAACCTCTGCAGTAGGCTAATACTAAATCTGAGATTTCCTTCTCAGCTTTGATGGAAGAAAGCAGCTTAATATCAACTAAACCTACCCTTCAACTTATGAAGCTAGAAAAGACATACAAATATCTCACAGTTCCATACCTTTTTTTTTGATAACAGAATTAAACTCAGGACCTCATGCTTGCCAGGCAGCTGCTGTGCTGCTGAGCTCTACCCCAGCCCTCATGATCTTTCTTTTTATTTGAACTCACTGTCTTGTGCATGCAGGTAAGCACTCTACCAGCCTTATGTATTTATTTAGTCGTTTTGAGACAGGGTCTCATTATACAGTTCAGACTGGCCTTGGGTTCACTTTGTAGCCCAGGCTGGCCTTGAACTCGCAGTGATCCTCCGGCTGCAGCCTCCAGAGTGCTGGGACTACAGGTATGTGCCACCATGACTAGCCCTTTCTATTTTGAGACAGAGTCTAAATTGCTAAGGCTGCCCCATATTTACAATCCTTCTGCCTAAACCTCCCAAGTAACTGGGATTTCAGCTATGTATCACTGTACCCAGGACTATGGCATCTCTTGAGAGTAACAATGGCCAAAGGTTACAGGAATATGGTCTTTACTATATGCTTGCCTTCCAAATCTTATGAGAAGTCATGAGTTGTAGGATTTGATTTGTATTTACTATATAGTTAAATTAAAACATGTATAGGGTAGAAGGATAGAGAAGAAAGTTGGACTATCAATCATAGGGCTGATTTTCACCAGGGTCAATGTAATATAGACACAGAGAACTAGTATGGTACAGCAAGATAATTTCTAAAACAGGAGATTGGGGTGGAGTCAGGGCTAGAGTGCAAGAATCCACCAGTCCTTAGTTTCAATCTCTAACACTCCTACTCAAAAGAAAGATAACTTGGGGCTGGGGATTTAGCTCAGCAGCATAAGTGCCTGCCTTGCAAGTGTGTGGTCGTGAGTTCGATCCCTGGTACCAATAAAAAAGAAAAAGACAAAAAAAAAGAAAGATAACTCATAAACTTAATAAACTTAGAGGAGGCTGTATCTGGGAAGCAAAATATCACAAAATTATTATAATATTTTAATTCAAGTTTTACCTGTTTTTGAGCAACTTATGGTATTTTAGGTTGTCTCAGTTTGACTGAGTCGTCTCAGGATGACTGGTTTCAGAATGACTATATCACTGTTTATATTCCAATTAGTAGTACAAAATACTTGCTATTATTTGGGCCTACATACAGCCTTAAAACTTAAAATTATGCCAGCATGGTGGCACATGCCTGTAATCCCAGCACTTGAGGATGAAGAAGGAGATGGCTGCAAGGCCAGCCTGGAAAACATAGTAAGTTCAAGGCCAGTTTAATAGTGAGACTGTCTAAAAAAAAAAAAAAGAAAAAAAAAAACCCCACCCCACCCCAACTTCAAAACAAAACACCAAACACCACAACCAAACCAAAAGAAAACAAAACAAAAATATTCAGTGTGGTGGTGCAGATCTGTAATCCCAGCTACTCTTGAGATTGAAGCAGGAAGAATTTAAAAAAAAAAAAATTTTAAGGCTGGTCAAGTGAAGCAGTAGGAGTGGAGAAGGTACAATGAAATCTATAACTGGTTGTGATCAATTAGTTGTAAACACCACTGCACTTGGACCAGCTGAAAGGAAGATTTTAATTTGAAGTGGTGCATGCCTATAATCCCAACACTTGAGAGGTTGAGGTAGGAGGACTGCTGCAACTTCAAGGCCTGCCTGGGCTACAAGGTGAGTTTAAGGCCAGCCTGAACTACATAGCAAGACCCTGTCTTCCAAAGGTGCAATATAAGAAAGTAAATATATAACTTGGTAATGTATTTGTTCATTATCAAGTAGTAATATATAATTACAGGTGATACATATATATCTATGGTAGCACTGGTGACTGAGCCCTCACACTGAGCTACATCTCCAGTCCTTATTTAAAATTCTAAAGACAGTCTTGCTAAATCACTAAGTTGCCCAGGCTGGGCTTTTGGGCTTGAACTTGCCATCCTCCTGCCTGTCCCAGTGTGCTGGGATTAGTCTGTTACCTTTTTATTAAGACTGACCTGCAATATGTTTGTTTATTCCAGTATCATCTCATAGGAGAACAATGCATTCACAATGTTACAATGGCTGTATCACTATGACAGAAACTCTTCAGTTCCTCTTTTACACAGCCAATGTTGTACATCTAGTCTGTCGCTGAAGAACACACTATTGTTTTAATTTTGAGACAGGGTCTCACTATGTTGGCAAACTGCCCAAACTGGGCTTGTACTTGAGATCCTCTTGCCTCAGCTTCCTAGTGTAGGAATTACAGGCATGCACTTCTACACTGGGCTCAATGTGATATTGAGCACATACAGAGATGGCACAGACTGATAAAATTCAACCTCCCTTTCTTCCACTCCTTCTCAACCTCCATCTTTCATCTACATTCAGGTTGACTTTTTTCTTTAGCTTTTACATGAGAAGTAACATGCTGTTTTTTTTTTTTTTCTTCTTCTTCTTCTTCTTCTTCTTCTTCTTCTTCTTTTTCTTTCTGAGACAGGGTCTCACTATGCAGTTCAGGCTGAACTTGGGCTCACTTTGTAGCCCAGGCTGGTCTTGAACTTACAATGAACCACCTGCCTCAGCCTCTCAAGTACTGGAATTACAGGAATGCACCACCATGCCAGGCTTGTGTTTGTCTTTTTGTTTATTTCATTTAACCTAATGCCCTCCAGTTCATTCACTTTGCTAAAAATGACAGAATTTCATACTTCATAGAAAAATATTCCATTGTGTATACATGACTTTTTTTTTTTTGTCTTTTTCGTTTTTATCAGTACCAGGGATCAAACTCATGACTGCCTGCTTGCAAGGCAGGCGCTTATGCCACTGAGCTAAATCCCCAGCCCCCACATGATGTTTTCTTAATTGACTCATCTGTTGATGGACATCTAGACTGATTCTGTATCTTGGTTATTTTGAATAGTATTGCAGTAAATGTAGGCATACAGGTATTTGGTGCGCTGATTATATTTCCTTTGGATATATACCCAGCAGTGGAATCGGTGAATCATAAGGCAGATCTCTTTTTTTTTTTTTTTTTTTTTGGTACCAGGGATTGAACTCATGATCTTGTACTTATCAGGCAGGCGCTTACATATTGAACTGAATCCCCAGCCTTGGCAGATCTCTCTTCAGTTTTTAAAGAACCTCTGGGGCTGGGGATTTAGCTCAGCGGCATAAGTGCCTGCTTTGCAAGCAGGCAGCCATGAGTTCAATCCCAGGTACCGGTAAAAAGGAAAAAGCCAAAAAAAAAAAAAAAAAAAAAAAAAAAACCCAAAATAAAACAAAAAAAACCCTGTTCTCCATAATGGCTATCCTAATTTACATCCTTACTAGATGACAGTTCCCTTTGTGTCCACATCCTCACTAGTATGTTGTTTTTTGGTAATAGCCATTCTAAGTGAAATGAAATGATATATGACTATAGTTTTGATTTGCATTTCTCTAATGGCTAATAGTATTGAGTGTCTTTTCATATAATTGTTTTTTTTTCCCTCAAAGTCCTCACATTAAATTTTCATATAATTGTTGACAATTTGTTTTTCTTGAGAAATGTGTTCAGGTCATTTGCTCATTTTTGTATTTGTTTAATTGGGGGGTTTTGGTGTAATTTTTTGAGTTCTTTATATATTTTGGAATATTAATTGTTAAATAAATAGTTGGCAATAGGGCTGGGGATTTAGCTCAGTGACACAAGTGCCTGCCTGGTAAGCACAAGGTCAAGAGTTTGATCCTCGGTACAATTTAAAAAAAAAAGACTTTTGTACATCAGTAAGAACTGCTTAGAAAATGAAAAGACAAGTCATAGGCAAGAAATATTTGGAAATCTTATCTGTAATAAAAGACTTGTACCCAGGATATATATGAAAAACTCTTATAATTCAATAATAAGTATCCAATTACAAAATGGTCAAGAGACATGAATACATAATTCACCAAGAAATACAAGTAGGCTATAGCTTATGAGCACAGGAAATGGTGCTCAGAATTATTAGTGTTTAGAAAACTACAATGAGGAATTACTAAAATGTCCTTTGGAATGGCTAACATTTAAAAGAAAACAATAACAAATATTGGGGAGGGGATAGAGAATCTTAAATCCTCACAAATTGATGGAAATGTAAACTGGTGAAGCCACTTTATGGTCTTTTTAAAAATTTATAAATTTTCATTTTTTTCTTTTCTTTTTTTCATTTTTGTAATGTGTGGCCTTTTTTTTTTTTTGGTCTTTTTGAGACATGGTCTCACTGTGCAGTTCAAGCTGGCCTTGAGCTCACTTTGTAGCCTACGCTGGTATCGAACTCGCAATGATCCTCCTGCCTTAGCCTCCCAAATGCTGAGATTACAGGTATTAGCCACCATGCCCAGTTTGTGTTTTTTTGAGACAGGTTCTTGCTATGCAGTTTACGCTGGCCTTGAGCTCACTTTGTAGCTCAGGTTGGTCTTGAATTCGAAACAATCCTCCTGCCTTAGTCTCCTGATTGCTGGGATTACAGATGTGAGCCCCCATACCTGGCAAGCCATTTTAGAAAATAGTTTGACAGTTCCTCAAAAATGTTTAAGTAAGTTGGAGGCTAAGGCAGAAGGATCACAAGTTCTTATTTTTTTGGTACCAGGGATTGACCTCACACTTGCCAGGTAGGTGCTCAAGCCACTGAGCTAAATCCCTGGCCAGGATTTCAAGTTCAAAGCCAGGCTGAGCAACTTAGTGAGACCCTGTCTCTAACGTAGAAAGAAATTAAAAAATGCTCAGTGGTGGAGCACATACCTAACATGTATGAGGCTCTAGTTTCAATAGCTAGTATCTACCACCACAAAAAAACCAAGGTAAAGGTCAAGTTGTTACATGATCCAGCAATTCCACTCCTAGGGAAATGAATGTTTGCACAAAAACTTGAGCACAAACATTCACAGTAGCATTATTCACAAGAGTTCCAAATGTCCACAACCAATGAGTGGATAAGCAAAATGTGGTATAGCCCTACAGTGGAACTCTATTTAGCAACAAAAAGAAAGTACTAATACACACAATAACTCGGTGAACCTCAATGTCAAGAGAAGTCAAACTTAAAATACCACACACTATATGATTCTATTTGTATTAAATATTCACATAGGTAGATTTATGGAGACAGAAAATGGATCAGTGGTCATCCAGGTGGATTGTGGCTATGTCTACATATCTCTATACTTTTATTAAAAATCATTGAATGGTACGCTTACAATAGTTGATAAAAGATATAATAGTTTAATGAAATTGCTATGAGAGAAGAGTAGTGTTGTAGGTCTACCTAGATCTCATATAAGCATGGGAGAAGTGAAAATAGGGAAATGATGTAGGTCACAATAGTGACACCAGATATTTATAAACATATAAAGACAGATTATTTTTCAGAGCATAGCTACCGTGTTCTCTACTTCAAGGTACAGGGCACACCTTCCTTGTACCCCAAGGTCACTTAATTTTTGTGTTCCTCAATTCTTAGACACTCTTATTCACAGTATCCCTTATATTATCTTGGAATATGATATATTTTGATGTCTGCAAGCCTTTCCAGTGCAAGGATAGTATCGTCCTCATCTCTAGTTCTGATGCCCTGTCAGTTTGGGAAGAGAGCAAGGATCAGAGGGGAGAAAACTTTGCCCCAAACATGTTTCAAAAAGATACAGAGGCTCAGAAATAATATGCACATCATTTAGGAGTCAGGATAGACTTCCTGTTCAAAATTCAATTCTATACAGGACAGTTTACAAACACATTAAACATTCCAAGATTAATCTGCTCAGCAAGCAAACAAGCCATGAAAGAAATATGATTTCCCTGTAAATACCTCACAGGGTTAGTACCAAAGCTCAAATACAATTCCTGTACATCTGGGTTAGTGTTATGTAGCTAGCTCTAAGAGAAAGAGCTGTTGAAGGAGGTCACACAAGCAGGTCAGCCCAGAACTTCCCATTCTTTTTTAAATTTCTCATCTTACCCAGTTTCGGATCAAACACAGAGTAAGACGTGACCAGGCATGGCTTTGGATACAGTTCACCATTAAGTGTGCGATACAAACAAAACAAAACAAACAAAAACTGGAACCGAAAAGCGTATATAGGCCATTTTCTCAGGCTCCTAGTCCTCATTTCACAGTAAATCCCGGGAAGAGGCCAGATACCTAGAAACAGCAGTAAGCCAGGGCACATTACCAAAGCCAGGAGGAACACGGGGTGCCTCCAGGTCCCCTCACTAATGTAGGCCTTGAGAGAAAAGGGGCAAGAAACAATGGAGATAGGGAAATCTCGAGAATGAGACGATGAAAGGTAGAGGGAAATGGTACTTGGTTTGGCCGCCGATATGGCAAAGAAGGTTTTGTAGGTCTCCGCGACGGCAGTCCTAGAGAGGGGAAACACCCCAGGGCCTGAGCGTGACAGGCCTGGAATCTCGGGGCGCGGGGCTCGCGCTGGGGACTAAGAGTACGGGAGTCCTGGGGCACTTCACACGAGGAGGCTTTCGGGTGCCAGGGGGTGTGCCCAGAGCCCCAGGGGCAGGTCTGCGGTCCCGCCCCACTGCCGGCGCCACTCCCCGCCAGCAGAGCAGGCGGGTGAGGGGTTTTCAGCTTCTAAGACCCCGACTCACCTTCCTCCCTCCCCACCGGCTGAGTACTGGACACTGCTTCCCACAGCCGGCGCGCCCTCTCGCGGTCGAAGCGCGCCCCGTCCGGTTCCCCACCCTCCCGCTCTTCCGAGCCGTTGTATGGCTCGGCCCTTCCGCCATCCGCAGCATCCACATCTCCCAACACTGGATACTCCATCTTTCCCGCAAGCCCAAGCCCGTAGAGTGGCTCCTGCGCCTTGGTATCGCGAGATGTTGAGGGGCAAGGGCGCGGGGGCGGGGAGGAAGAGTTACCCTGGCCCACAGATCTCGCGATATTTGGGCGCCGCCGATGGTTTAGTGGTTCCGGAGCTGAGGTTTATTTTGGTTTTCTACCTCAGGGATTTTCGTACGTGTGCGGTGTGTTCGGGAACCTGCAGTCGGTTCTACAATAAAGGCTTCTCTCTCGGAGACGGGCAGGTGCAGTTCTTGGTTCAGGGTTCTCACCTTACTCACGGTCAGCTGCTGACAATGTTTTACGGGTATGGAAACTATGGCCCAGATCCTAGAAATGGCTTGGTCGAGTTCGTTACTGCTAAGTGGCCAAGATTTCTGCTAAGCCCATACCATCCCGACCTCGTCAATTACTGCTAATAATAAGTACCACTTGTTGAATTCCAAGTGCCAACCCCCAGCTCAGACTGTCTCTTAAACACGTGACCCGTTTATCCAGTTGCCCGTGCGAACCTTTTACTTGGATGGCTAACAGGCTTTTCCCTACATCAAGTGTCAGACACAAAATTTTATCTTCTAATTCCAGATTTGCTTCTCCCCCAGTCTTTGCAGCCGTTATCTCTTGTCTAGGTTATTTATCATGGTATAGTATCTTAGCAGCTCCCTTCCCTAACACTGCAAGTGTTCCCAGCACTGGAGCACCAGGGAGTGTCATGCAACAAAGTCAAGTGACTTGTTCTGATGCTCTACTTAAGTGGCTGTCTCCTTTTTAGCCAAAGTCCTTACTTTGACCGAAAAGACCTTATGCGGTTTGATTTTCCCTAATCTCTGTAACATCATCTAATGTGTCTCAAACCCTTAATTCTTGTCCCAGTGACCTAGAATATATTTCTCCTGTATATCACAATGACGCCATCTCTTCTCTTAGCTCTCTACACACACAGTCTGCTCTAGTCCGTATCCTTTTTTCCTGCTTTATTTTTTCTCCTCGACATTTCTTGCACATAGTATATATTTTAGTTTTTAATTTTGTTTATTGTTTATTTTCCTACTGGAAGACAAGTTCCAGCAAAGCATACATTTTTTTCTTTTTTCTGGTACCGGAGGATCGAACTCACAGCCACCTGCTTGCAAGGCAGGTGCTTATGCCGCTGAGCTAAATCCCCAGCCCCAAAGCATACATTTTTGCCTACTTTATTCACAGCTAGATCTACAGCACCTTAAAATAGAGGCTGAATCTTCCTAAGTACACACAAAATATTTGAGTGAATGAAAGTTGTGATTACCTATTTCAATCTCATTTATTAAAATATTTATTGAGAGTTTATTGTGAACTAGATACTTGGGGCTCTGGTGAACAAGATAGGGGGATGAACTGATAAGCTCTGATTTTTTTTTTTTTTGTCTTTTTCCTTTTTATCGGTACCAGGGATCAAACTCACGACTGCCTGTTTGCAAGGCAGGTGCTTATGCCGCTGAGCTAAATCCCCAGCCCAAGCTCTGATATTTTTATTAGTGTATTTTTATTACTGTAGTGGAGAAAAGTATAATAAAAAAGTTAACATAATAAAAAGTCTTAAAGAGAATACAAAACAAGGAAACACTGAATAAATTATGACGGAGAAACATTAAGGTGCCCAGAAAAGTATCTGAAGAAATGACTTTTGAGCTAAGACCCGATTGAGGAAAAATGAATACTTACGCAAACTGCTGGGGAAGAATATTTCAGGGAGAAACAGGACTGAGTTGATGTGTTGGAGGAACAGGAAAATGGACAATATGGCTTCAGCCTAGCAAAGGGAAAAGTGGTAGCAGAGGTCTAAGAGAAAGAGACTGTTCTTCCCTGAGATCACCAAGGTACTTTACTTATTTATACCACAAATATTTACTTATTTATATGATAGTTTTCTTGTTTCTCTTTTGAGTCAGGGTTTTACTATGCAATGTAGGCTGACCTTGAACTCACTCTGTAGTCCTGGCTGGGCTCCAGCTCATAATGATCATCCTGCATCAGCCTCTCAAATTCTGGGGCTGCAAGCATGTGCCACTATGCCCGGGCTCTTGGTAGTCTTTTCTTATCCACAGGGACATGTTCCATGGATGCGTGGAACTGAGTTAGTACTGAACTGTAGATACACTATATTTTTGTCTCTAAATACATAAAGTTTAGCTGACCATAATGGTGCACCCAAAGTGGAGCTCAGCTAAATATTTTTCCCCTCAGAATAATGGGCTTTGCCATCTAGATACAGGCAACAAGTAATAAATTTCTGTACTATTTAAAAGTTAGAAGAAATAAAACTTCCTTGCAAGTCAAAGTGTATGAACTACTGTGGGAAGCCTCTTTGTTCATTGAAGTTAATTGTTAATTTTTGAGAAAACATTTTATTGAATTAAAACATTGACATAGAAGAATACATAAATTATAAGCATGTGGCGTGACCAAAGTTCAAATGTGGATATCCTCATGAGATTCCTCAAGATCATGGGTTTTAGGGTTTGTGTCTAGATGTCCCATCGGAGCCTCATGCAGTCATAGGTGAGGGCTTTTTAAGACATGGCTGATTCTAAAGCGTATAATGCTGGGGTTTAGGGTGTGTGATTACTATTGGTTTGGCAACCACCATAAACCCATTAGCCTAGAGAGACTATAAACAGAGCAGAGAGAAGCTGCTAAGATTGCTTGGACCTTCTGCTTGCTGCTGTCTGCCTCCCTTGACTGTCAAGGATTGTTTTTCCTTTGATAGCTTCTGTCATGCCACTTGGCCTTGGAGCCAGCCAACAATGGACTGAAATCTTTATGAACTGTGAGCCAAATAAACCTTTCCTTCTTTAACTTTGGGTATTGGGCATTTTGTCTCAGAAATGAATAAAGACACCGAGACAATGGAGAACTCTAGGTGCGTATTTGCCAGCATCTTATTGAGGATTTTTGGATCTATGTTTATTAAGGAGATTGGCCTGTAGTTCTCTTTCAAGGTTGGATACATCTCTGATTTTTGATATCAGGGTAATGCTTGCTTCCAGGAATGAGTTTGGGAGTATTGCTTCTCTTTCAATTTCATTGAAGAGTTTGAGGAGTAGTGGCATTAGATCTTCTCTAAATTTCTTGTAGAATTCAGCAGTGAATGCATCCGGACCTGGGCTTTTCTTTGTTGGTTTTAAATTCCATCTTCAATTTCATTGACTGATATTGGATTATTTAGAATGTTTATATTTTATTGATTCAGCTTTGTTAATTCATATCAATGAATTTGTCCATTTCTTCTGCATTTTTAATCTTTTATTAGCGTACAGATTCTCACAGTAGATACTGATAATCTGGATTTCTTTCTTCTTTTTTTTGGTAGCAGGAATCGAATTCAGAACCTAGTATTTGCCAGGCAGGTGATTGTTCCACTAAACTATGTCCCTGGCAGTAATCTGGATTTCTGCAGGATCCATTGTGATTTTGCCCTTTTCATTCCTAATTGCATAGATTTGAGTCTTTTCTTTCTTTTCTTTTTTTGTCTTTTTGAGACAGGGTCTTGATATGCAGTTCAAGCTGACCTTGAGGTTTACTTCATAGCCCAGGCTGATCTCAAACGAGCAACAATCCTCCTGCCTAAGCCTCCCGGGTGCTGAGAAGTCTTTCTTTTTCTTTCTTTCTTTCTTGGTAAGATTAGCTAAGTGCTTATCTATTTTATTTAGTCTTTCAAAGAACCAACACTTTAATTCATTGATTCTTTATATTATTTTCATAGTTTCCATTGCATTAATTTCTGCTCTGATCTTTATAATTTCCTCCCTCATATGTGCTTTGGGCTTGACTTGTTCTTCTTTTTCTAGCAGCTTGTGGTTTAACACTAGGTTATTTATTTGAGGTTGTCTCTTTCTTTTTTTCCTTCTTTCAGTACCAGGGACCAGACTCACAATCTCACACTTGCCACGCGGGTACCTATGCCACTGACCTAATCCTCAGTCCCTGCTTTTTTTTTTTTTGATGTGAGACTTCACTGCTGTAAATTTCCCTTGTAGGATTGCTTTCATCATGTCCGATAAATTCTAGTATGTCATATTGGCATTATTGTTTAATTGAAGAAACTCTCTAGCAGGGCTGCAATCTCAGCACTCAGGAGGCTGAGGCAGGATGGTTGCGGTGAATTTGAGGCCAGCTTGGGCTACAAAGTGAGTTCAAAGCCAGCCTGAACTGCAGAGTGAGACCTTGTCTCAAAAAAGACAAAAAAAAAAAAATGTAGAAGTTGTCTGATTTCTTTAATGTCATCTGTGACCTGCTATTATTTCTATAAACAGGTTTTGCTTTTTTTTTGATGAGTACCAGGAATGAACTCAGGACCTTGAGCTTGCCAGGCAGGCACTGCACTGTCGAGTTATATCCCTGGCACATTAAACAAGTTTTTAAATTCCATTTGTGCTGTCTTGATTTTTCACTAATTCCAGTTAATCTTAGATTAATCTTCTTTGTGTTAACTAGCAGTGGTTGGCTCTAGTTTCCATGTTTTCTTGTTTTTAAGGTATTATTGAGTAAATGGTCACTGACATTAACTCTTTTAATTTTGTCTTCAAATTGGTCACTTAAGCTCCCCATACTTAAAAAAAGGGGGGGGGGCCTGGGGATTTAGCTCAGCGGCATAAGCGCCTGCCTTGCAAGCAGGCAGTCGTGAGTTCAATCCCTGGTACCAATAAAAAGGAAAAAGACAAAAAAAAAGCTCCCCATACTTTCAGTAGAATTTTTTTTTAATCTCCTGGATTTATTTGGCACCTTTTCATGGACACTAATTTGTTGCTAAAATGGTCATTCATGTTTTCTTTCATTTTGTCTAGCTTAACTAGCTTTCTGTTGGTGTTTTTGGTAAACTTGTACTGTATAGTGAGACCCTGTCTCAAAAACAAAGCAATAATACCGTACAGTTAGCTGAATATCTAAAGATTAATAAGGATTATTATAATACTAGTAAAGAGGCAGTGGGTGGGGAACAGGAAAATGAAAGAAGGAAGATTTGAGAATCCATGCTGG